CTTGATGAAGGAGTAGCACAGGGTAGTAACACTGAAGATCCATCAGAGACACAGAGAGCAGAAAGTAAAAAGGGATGGAATAAAGTAGGAGACGGACGAAGGGAGCGCAGCCACCATGACTGGCTGCATTCTCTGTGCACTGCAGCACAGCTGAGGGGGTGATTCATCCATCAGCCGGCCTCAGGAAAACCAGGTTTCACCATTAGCAAATGAGCCCTAATTCAGCCAGATGGCAGAGAACCCCATCCTCTACTCAGAACCCAGGGCCGGGTGCCAGCACTGCTCACTCTCTCTGAAACTCAGCTCATAGCTGCAGTTCAGTTCCGTTGAGACTGCCCTCCCAACAAAAACAACAGAATCAGTTGATAAAGAACAACATGTGTTTAGGGTTAAGACAAAGCTCTCCGGTGGCCCCTCTGTACTGAAGAGAACAATAAACAACACTGAAGCTCAGATGGAAACAGGAAATGAGCAGAAGTCACCCATGTGAAAGTCCCTGTATTCTCTCAAACCATCCATCCACACCAACCTCATCCTTATGGGGACTTTATCACCTGCATATCATATTGTACAATATTTACAAAATAAAATGCTGTGGTATCAGTGGTCCATACTGTAGATCACCTCCACACTGTATTAGTCTTAAAGGTTTTGTGAAGTTAGAAAATCTGTCTTCTTTGCTATTATTTAGTTGTGTAAAAAAGGGTTTTCTTAACTGCAAAGGTGTCAGCCTTGTAGAATCATCTCACTTCATGGATGAACCTAATAGTAGACATTCAATAAAATCATCCATCCATCCATTTTCTAATCCCGCTTAGTCCCAAATGGGGTCACGGGGGGGCTGGAGCCAATCCCAGCTGACAGTGGGCGAGAGGCGGGGTCCACCCCAGACAGGTTGCCAGTCTGTCACAGGGCTGAAACTTAGAGACAGACACCACACATGCAAACTCTGCACAGAAAGGCATCGGGCTGGCCATGGCTCAAACCTAGAACCTTCTTGCTGTGAGGCAACAGCATAATACTCGTGTCTGCAGCATTAATTTATAATACATGCATTTACTATGTCCAGATAAACATAGACTATCTAGGACACACAAAGCTTTAGATCCCATCACATAAACAGCTAGTAAGCCAGTGTACTGCTGCAGTTTGTGTATGTCACAATTTGTGGAATGACAGAACTTTTCAACAATGGCAAATTATGGCATCTGAGCAGAGTACTCACAGAAAATAGGAAGATTTTGCTATTTTTCAGGCTGTATAACAAAAAGAAACAACTAAAATTCTATAAATGCATATTTTGCTAAAATCATATCTATTGATTTGCATATTTTGTTCTCCCTCCCTCCCTGCTTTGCTCACACAGCCCAGAAGAAAATCATTAAATCT